TATATATATATATATATATATATATATATATATATATATATATATATATATATATATATATACGATACAGTTGAGTAACAACATATCTTTACCTTAACATCATGTTTTTATAATTTCTTTGTTTTCCATATTAATCGACTTTTAATCTTTTATCTCTATATCACAATGAAATTTTGCATACATCATTTTGAATACCTAAAGTATATGTATACGAGACTTCTGTCATTATTTTTTAATGATTTTTTCCTTTGCTAAGTGTAGTAACATCATACGTTTCCATAACAGCACAGCTTAAAACATCCCCAAGTAGCAAGAAACATCAAATGACGTATTAATGAGTATTATTGCTATTAGAAAAGTTATTAATATATTAAATTAATGTATTATTAATGTGCTATTAAATTAATATCAAAAAGTCACTAATGTATTATTGAAACATTACTTGATGTCATGATGTTTGTTGAACTTATACTTCAAAATGAAATATCTTTTGGTCCAGACTCTAAATCAAATTGTCATCATTTCTAGGTGCAATATAGTTTCATTTCTAATTTTTTCAAAGTTTTTTCATTTTTTAAATATAGGAAAATATATTTTTCAAGTGGTGTTATGATTGAATTTCAGGCGACAAATTCCAAGAAGGATCTCAATACCGCTGCCGGTATATTTGAGAGAAAGAACGCCTCCTTCTTCGATAAGCTTAAGGAAAAGTTAACGACAGCGACTAATAACGGCATACGAGAGATAGCTGTAAGTAATGTGAACGATTTGAAATGTTGGTGTACGTTTAAAGCTAGTAGCATGGAAGAGCTGGCTTTACACAAACAAACACACCACACCGCTCTCAGCGTATCCGTGGGTACGACACGTTGTCCTAAGTGTAGAAGACGTTGCAAGAGTTCAACAGATCTCCAAGTGCACATGCAATCCTGCCACACGACCACCGATAGTAGTTTAGAGAAAATAATGAGCCGCTCGGACGTCCGCATGACCCCGTACCGTGGCGAATACGCTTTTCCATCGCAACTGGACTGGGACGCAAGTCTCAGAGGACTAAATTCGTCTGGATCCTCGGTACGGTGCTTGATAAGATAATCTAAGTATATAAAATAAGAAAACCGCACGTAAGAAAGACGTACCAGTCTTTCGCGAGAATTTTCTTGAGATCTGAGATTGAAAACAGTCGTTTATAATGTTGCAATTGAAAGCAATAGTTCGTAGAACGCGAACGTCTACGAGCGTGCAAACTCTACGCGAAACAAACTCGTCGCTACACAGACATCTTTTCTTTTATTTTTTATTTATTTTGGCTGTTTTGTAACTCCTTGTTTCATGCAAAAATTAGCTGGACATCTATACAGATATACTTGTTAGCGCAAAGTTCTGTTTGCCGAGCTGTAGAAGTATGCAACAACCTATTTACATCGTGAAACACATAAGCGTTGATTAGAGATTAGAACGGACTTCTCGTTCTCCTTTTTCTGTTTTTATTTATTATTAAGAATGTGCTTTACATATTGCATATGGTGGATGTCGAGCATCTATTTCTCTAGCAATTCATTGTAACGAACACGTATTATGTCAGTTCTGACAGTTCTCTCTGTTACGATACGAAATTTTTGTTAGTTTAAAGGTGGTTCGACACTAACGAGCGGCCGGCGGGTGTTCAAATGTCCCCATTGTCCGTTTTGGGCTTCTACCGCAAGTCGCTTTCACGTTCATATAGTCGGTCATTTAAACCGGAAGCCGTTCGAGTGTTCTATGTGCGCGTATCGTTCTAACTGGCGATGGGACATCACAAAACATATTAAGCTTAAAGCAGCTAAAGATGCAGTGCATATCACCGCCAAAGTTCTTATGACGGATGAGACTGGTCGACGGAATTATTCCAAATATAAGAAATATCTTGCACAGGTGAAATAATGAATATCTCAGTTACATAGAATATAACTCATCTATCAACCACACATATCACGTGAAATGTATCACATTTAAGTTGATCTGCCCGGGCAGGATCACGGTCTCGCGGTAAACAAAGCGAGAAGAAATTTTATAGAACAATTCGGCCACTCGGCGCTCGAACGCTTGATCACTATTGCATTGTGACACTCATCATAAGCATATTCTTAGTAATCACTGGAAGTACTCATTGGAGGAAGTGTCGAATCCACGCTTTCCTCGCGAAAGCGCGTTCGATATTTTCGCAAATCCTACGCAACCTCGACACGATTTGTGTCTGTGAGAGTCGTTCACGCAGTCTATCGAGCGCGATATAAATTTTTCACGATGTAGCGATGTAGCACGAGAGTCTCATTGTATTTTATGTCACATCCAATACCCCGCAGAACATTTCACAGCAAGCTCCAGTGTGACGATGCTTTACAGTGTATTGCACTCTATGCACAGATAGAAAACTTAATATGGGACGAGGATCGGTTGGAGCAACGTAGCGTAGAGGAGACGAGCTCAAACGAGCCGCCGACAAAATTGCTGATCATAAACAATAAGGAGCACATTTCTACCGACCAAACGTCGTCTAGTCCAATTACGATTTTATCGTCAACCGACAGCAGTCGGAACGATCATCATGTGAACCTGAGCCTACGACCGCCACCACCACTCAGATCGGCGACCAGAAGTCGCGGACAGTCCTTGCTCAAGAATAATCCTATCACGATGAATATGCAGAGTGTTGGTGGTACTTGTGGTGGTGCGGTCACTATATCCTCGACAACAGCAACGGATGAGAGCAAACGCACTCAGTGGAAATGTAAACGATGTAACTACCGAGATTCTAACAAAGACAATGTGCTGTTACATGTTAGGTCGCATTATGAATCCAATGATCAAGAGCCCACCGATCCAGAAAGGGTAAATATTGCGCTGTTCCTGATATAAAGTCACGCTCGAGAGATTATCTTCCTCTCTTGATTTTCAATCTTGACTTCCAAATCTGAATAAATGTAAAAACATTGAGCAATATATTGAGACGCTACCAGCGTCTCATATGTGTGACGCACTGGTCTCTCATGAGAGACTAATACCACATATATATGAGAGCAATAATTTTTCTTCTTATGTCCACATAAACACATCAAGTCTGTTTTACACTATTATATGAAAATATATACAGTGTGGGTTAAGGATTTTTCTAAACGGGCCATAAACATAGTAAACATATTAAAGAGTTAAATAATAGTGGCAGTTTAAAGCGATAGTACAAAGATCCGAATAATGTGCTCGATATAACATGCAATATATAACGGAAAAATATTTAACAGCATTATTAACATATAAAATATATAATAAAATGTGTAAATATATAAATATAAGAGATACCTAACAGTTTTTAATCTTAAATCATATTGATCAATAAGCGTACTCATCTCATGTCGATATGCATCACGATTTTATTGTCTTGTATAATCAAAGCAAATTTATTGTGCGTCTTTATCTTTTGCAGAATCCATTCGGCTGCGGGGATTGCCCCTTTTCAGCACCTGACGCTGCTACTCTCTCCCTACACAGAATGCACCATCGACCGAACTTGGATGCTATATTCAAATGTTACCGTTGTCCGTACTACGTTAGTACAAAGGCGTATGTGTCTCATAATAATAATGCGTTTTTTAATATAAGTGCTGTATTATTTCTTTTTCTTATGTTGAAAGCGTATAGTATAGAAACATAGTTTCTTCACGTGGTATTGAAATGATAATATTTAAAAAAATCTTTGATAGTGTCAAAAAAATTAAGTTATGATGCTGATATTATATAATATATAATATTTACTATCATTTGCTGTTCCACAGAGAATTGTTGGAACACGCTAGGCTTCACGGAGAAGAGTTGGCGACTGTCCATCAGCAGAGTATGGATCACCAGCAACTACCAGACTCCAAAAAATATAAAAAACAGCACTCATTGATCTCCGACAGTGGTAAGTTTGACTGATCACATGTTTAAACTTCTCCAAACTGCAATCTTACTAACTCGCTGGTTATCACGTCACAGGTGCTTTGCAGTCGAAGAGTGAGATGCCCATGGAACAAATGGCTCAGATAACCGCGCGCAACAAGGCAACATCGGTGTTGAAATCGCCGAAAATTACGGGAGGTCCGCCGCCGCTTCTCTTGGACACACGTATTCTCTCGGAATCGCCGTTGGTCTGGGTGACACGGCCAGACGGCACGTTGAACAAGATGTTCAAGTGTCGTCATTGTCCTTACATTTCCTTGCGACGAGTTGAGGTGCAAGACCACGAGGTTATGCATACGCCTACCGAAGAGTCTGTGATTTCCTGCACGGACTGTACTTTCACTTGCTCACGTAAGGATATCATAAATGCGCACACAGAAATGCACAATGGATGCCTGGGCACTGTTCACTGCCTGGTGGACGAGACTCGTCCCGATAACCAGCAAGTGAACGATCTTGTCAATCTACTTGCTTTAAAACATCCCCCAGCAATGGGCCCTGAGCCGGATCTACGAGACTCCCGGTTGGTGCATTGCTGCAACAAATGCCCGGCACGGTTTCTCTGCGAGAAGGAACTGCGGATTCACTTACGATATCACACCACCGACTTAGCGTATTCTTGCCAATGGTGTTCATACGCAGCGCGTCAGCCGTCGCATCTCTTGGCTCATCAAAAGGCTCATTCCACGGAATATCAAGAGCGCACTAAGTATCTGCTGACAATGTACAACCACTCGCAACGCTTTCCGCCGCCGTCGACTGCGTGTGTCGAGACGGAGACCAATCAAGAGGATAACAACTGCGGATTCAACGTCGCGTGGATAGTCGTCCAGTTGAACGAGAACAGCAGCAGTAGCACGTCAATCGGCCAAAGGAGCGGCAACCAAGTGTTTACGTGCGCGAAATGTCCGGCACGCTACTTTAAGTTGGACGCTCTGGAGTACCACATGACATTGCACGGCTCGAATAATCGGTTCAAGTGCAACGATTGTGACTACTCGTCGAAGACCGCGCAGAACCTGGTGAAGCATCAGGTGGTCCATCGGCGGCACAACGAAACCAACGAATCGGCGTCGTCACCTACTAGCATGCCTACTTCGCCCGTATCCATCTCGCCGTTGAACATGGAGTTACCGGAGCCTCAATACAGCCTCTACGCACGCGGCAACCCCAACTTCGTCTACCCGAGCTACTTACGGAATGGTCGTATAAAGGAGAAGCGCTACAAGTGTCACAAGTGTCCATCCGCGTTTGATAAACGCGAACAGTACAGGGTGCACTTGACGCTACACGGTTCGAAGCAACGTTATCGCTGCCAGACCTGCGACTACTCGGTCCAATATTATGCCAACTACGCGCAACACCGAAGGAAGCACTTGGCGAACGCGGAGGCACAGGCGTCGCGCCGACAGTTCGAGGACGACCGGTTCTCACTGGATAGCGACACCGATGTTGAACGTCCGCCACTGCGCTCCAGCAAGTCCTTACGATCCTCCGTTTCAGTTTATCCAATAATGACGGCAGTCGCCAACGACGCGACTAACGCTGCGACCAACGCTGCGTCCAACGCTGCGTCCAACGCTGAGACCAGCGCTACGACCAACGTTGCGACTAACGCTGCGACCAACAACGTCGCTCTGCAGCCTTCCAATCAGGACAAACAAACTCTGCTGCTGATGCAGAGGAAAGGCATTGTGCAAGGCGCAGACGCCGTCGAGATCCGCTGCCAATATTGTCCCTTCTGCACTTTGTCCACCGATAAGGAAACCATGGACGCGCACAAACGTCGACACGGTATTGAACGCATGACACCGCCATGCCCGCACTGTGACTATGTCCCGCGCAAAGACGAGAACGTCGGTGAACACATCAGGCTGCATTTCAACAGATTGTACAAGCCTGAGTCTTATGTTATCGTTGAGCTGCTGACACTAACGATGGAGAAGATGCCTACGAACTCCAGAGATGAGAAGCAACTACGCCCGAAGGAGCTGCTCTTCAAAGAGTGCGCCGACGGCAAGTTCCTGCCGCTTGCGGAATCTTTGCACTCCAACTCGTTAAAGTCCTCTCCCTCGTCCATGAAAGCTCTCAAGGAGAAAGTCATGGTGGATCTCAATACGGGCGAGACCAAGCATCTTGCCGCATAAGAATTGAATTCTCACAGCGATTGTAACGTGAATCATTTGTGTATCGTGGTAAATTTATATGTGCATTTTTTCTACGTGAAAAATTAGTCAAAATTACATTTACGTAATTACAAACGTTCGAAAATTGTGCTGCTCGATTATAGCGATATGTTGCAGCACATATACATGGAACAACAGTTAGCTAATATGTATAGTATATATAATTATTTACGAGACGAAATGTTATATATATGCTTTTTTCAATCACATATTTTTTATCGTTCTTTGCATATATTATTAATTGCAACATCGCAGTACTATTTGAAAAACAGTAGCTTTGTTTATACAAAATTGCTAATACACGTGCTAATAAGAAACTTCCTATCTGAATTATCTTAATTTCGACGATACGTGTAAACGATGATATCATTTAATTAGTATAATACCTCTGAACATGTATTATGCCAGCTTAATCATTTGCAGGTTTCGTCTATGTTAAGAATTAAAGATAATTTAACAGGAAATTACTATTTAGTATATATGTATAAATCAAAGATCAGTGTAAAAACTAGCAGAATGAATAATGAGCATACTCCATAAAGTCGTGTATTCTATATTTTGTTAATCTGGCACACACAAGACATTACTATTGTAAATATCATATTTCAACTCTTGTACAGTCGATTACAAAGTGGTTTAGACACAGTGAAGATGGGAGATTACCAAATTGTCAAAATTGAGAATTATTGACACAAACATACATAGTAATTACATAATTAATAATATAGTCGATAATAACTTGTAATAATAATTATTAATAATGTAATTACTGTGCAAGCTCAACGGTAATGACTCAATTTTGATAAATAAGATCTCAGTTTCATTGTGTCTTTCTCTAAACCGTTTTGCAACTAAATGTATATTATAAAATAAATCCCTAATGCTCACACTATATGTATATATACACATGTATACATTTATTGTTTCATTTATATGTGTATATATTTTATGTAATAAATCATTTGCAATATTGTAAACATTATACGTTCTGCGAATCCAATTGAAAATAAAGGATTCATTTAGCTGTCGTTGAATCATATTACTTCAAGATATCAAAGTCTATTAAATCGTGCTAGTTAAAAATAAAAGTATCTCTTTTTTGCTGTGTAATCGGATTATTTCCAAATTAAAATCCCTATATATATGTGTTTATGTGTATATATATATATATATATATATATATAAATAAATAAATAAAATAGCGGTTATCAATGATTCGTTACACGCTACAGATGCTTCGCAAAACGTCTCGAAGCCATATGGACCAATCATGATTTTTTTTTAACCCGTAACAGATTCCAGGGACGCTCTAATTTTATTTTCGTGATAATTTCTAAACTATCCACTGTATGGCGCTAATATTTTCAGTACCTTTCGAGAGTAACAGTTTTCAGTGTGACAGAAGAAAAGATCATTGAGTTATTTGTAAGTAGCTGTGAATTATATGCATTTGTTTTCCGTCTGGGGTTACAGTAATATTGTACGTTAACGTTACTTTTATGAAAATAATTTTCTTAATCTTTAGCTCAATATGACTCATTCTTCATGCAAAAAAGTAAAAGCTTTTGCCTTTCAGTTAGTAGAACTTAAGAGACGTCTTAAGTATGCCTTTTGGACTCAAGAATTCAATATATTTATAAGCGATACGTTTAATAATTTTATCTATTTTAAAAATTGAAGAAACTGAAAGATCTAAAATTATTTTGCCATCCAGAGTAAGATGTAATAAATGTCCTAGAAGTAAAGATATAAAGTCCAAAGAAGTATATGTTAGATGCAATGAACCAGTATGCATCAAATGTGCAAGCACTATCTGTAATGATTGCATCTAAAAACCTTGTAAGATTTTAATATTGTATTTAATTTAACAATATTTGTTTATATTTTTTATATAATCTATAATTTGTAGACTTCGATTAAAACATAAATTTTTTTCTTTTTTCGATTATTTGTCTTTCAATATATTTTATTTCAACACTCCGGGAAAAAGTTTATTTATGAATTTTGTCTATATATAGTTATATATGATCATGTATAATTATATATGTCAACATTGAAAAGAATACTATTGTGAAGATACAATTGAAGTAAATACTTATGTTTATGGTAGCTCATGATGTCGACGTTTAATCGAATCAAATTATGTTTTTCTATTTTCATTTGACAATTTTCGTTTTATAAATGAACATATATAATTAGAAATAATCATATATAAGGTTACATATATGGACAAAATTCATATATAATCATATATATTTATATATAATTATATATAATCTTTTTTTTCCCGGGTGTCCACATTGTGCTCATTTTATAATCAGTTAACGTTTTCTTTTAGATTACTGAAAAACTGAGACTGTTATTATATATGTCTAGTTGTAATATAATATTCGTAAAGTATTATTTTCGAGCTATAAAGTGATTTTCTTTCTGTCTTTTATTATCATGTTAAAAATGGCAAAAATTTATTGATGTCCGCCGGACCCTATAGCTTGATTAAAAGGCATGTAGTGTACGTTCCCACTTAGACGTCACGCATCGTGTTGTCCTTCGCGGACCAATCAAATCGTTCCATTTTATTCGTCGTAAAGTTAGGCAATAAAATGGGACGATTTGATTGGTCCGCGAAGGAGACGCGACGTGTCACGCGCTAAGTGGGAACGCATTCTTACGGGTTAAACTTTTGCAGCGTCCGATTTTACAATGGCACTAAAAAATAGGAAGTAAGAATAAGAAATTGACTAATTACAGTCAAATGTGAGAAAAATAATCAACTATGATTGGTCAATTACTTACGGATTACGACATAAGTTAGAACCTGCATAAATAAGCCATAAATCTGTTCGTGTAGCTTGCACTTTTATATTTTTCGCACTTAGAACAAGATAGATACATATTTGAATGCTAGAAAAAACAAAAATGAGGAGATCAAGTGCAAAAAGTACGAGCAACACGAACAAACCAAATTTTTCGTTAAGGATGAGGGGCGACTCGTAGTGGAGATTTTAGAACTAACAAAAGCGAGAGTATTGGCTCCTGCACACAGAACGCGGTAATACTTGCCGCGCGGCGGAAGTCCGTGCGACAGCCAATCAATATGTTGTTTTCCGTAAGAGCTAGAAGGTTATTACGGAAAGCAGCATATTAATTGGTTGTCACGCGAATTTCCGTCGCGCGGCAAGCATTACCGCGTCCTGTGTGCAGAGCCATAAAGGGACGTCTACATTGGAAATAAATAGCAAGAAGTAGGAAGTAAGAGTAAGAAATTGACCAACCACAGTCGAATGTGAGAAGAATAATTAACTATGATTGGTCAATTTCTTATTCTTACTTCCTACTTCTTACTGTTTACTTCCAATGTAGACGTCCCTTTAAGCGTCTTCTACAATGGCAGTAGGAATAGTAGTAAGAAATAAGCAGTAAGTAAATAGACCAATCACAATCGATTATTTTTGAAACGTGAGAATGGAATTGGTCAATTTGCTTACTGCTTATTTCTTACTACTACTCCTACTGCCATTGTAGAAGGCGCTTTAAGCGTCTATTGGCTAGTAGAGACTTATGACGCCAATAATCGCTTTCAGAGCGATTAATCCAGGGCCAGTCGAATACGCTATTACGGTTATTGTTACGAAAAGTGTGTGTGGCCAACTTTACCAAAGACTCTTTCTTTTTATTTATTCAAAAATTTCCGCTATGAGGCGCTACTGACGAGAAATCGGAGCCGTAGTATGACTCAATGACAAGGTACACGGGCTTTAATTTCAAGTAGCATTACTCAACGATGGATCAGTAATACTTTTATTTTTCATTAGCACGAATACAGCGGATCAAATATAAACTTTTGTGTGTATTTGTTAGTGAAGAATAAGAGCCTTTTCAGTACGATAATGAGTATCTACTAATGAAAAATAAAAAAAAAAAGAAGGGAATAAATTTGAACGTCAATTCATCGGTCGATTATCGCCCAACTTCGTTTCATTACGGCGTTGCGGCGACGAAATTCAAGATCAATAAAGATTGCGGCGGCGTCGCGCATGACTGAATTGTCTTGCGAATTGTAACAATCTTGAGGTTATGATGACGACCGGGGCCAGGTTGATTCTAGTTGATTCTGTCTTCTAGCTCGCGCGAAGCAAGTACAAACATAAGTGATACAGTGACAGTCTTTGGCTGCGAGCCACGACAATGTTCGAGGGGGCTATAGCGGCATTTTTAAACCGCCTGCTGGGCAGGTACGTGGAGGACCTAGACACGGAGCAATTTAACGTCGGTATTTTCTCCGGGGATACGTGCCTCACCGACCTGAAATTGAAGCCAGAGGCTTTGGTATGCATCAGTTGATTTTTCCTTGTAATTTATTAACATAATATTCAGAATATAAACGACCATATTATGCACAATATTGTTGTTTCAGTATCAACTGGGATTACCTATTAGAGTAGAAATTGGCCTGATAGGGAAAATTATTTTGAAGATACCATGGTCTGGACTTTTCTCTCAACCTATTGTGATATGCATAGAGGTATGGAATAATTTATATAAGGGATAATGAACTTGTACAGTACCACATATTAAAACTAGGACGCATATATCTCATGAATATTTTATTTTTCTTTTAAGGACATATACGCAGTAGCAGTACCTGCATTATCTGGTCCTTACGATCCAGAGATACAGAAACGTTTAATAAGAGCTGAGAAAAAGAAAATACTTGAAAATTTAAAGGAAGATGAAATATTTAGAGCTGGTAATAGAATATTATTTTATCAGTTAGATATTACTTTTAGAATATTATTTTATCAGTTAGATATTACAAAATATTATTTTTTCTATTAATATATAGTAAATGCCTTTATTTTGAACTCTCTGAGCTCTACAGAATAGTTCTCTGAATCTTTATCAATAAAAGTGCCTCTAGTTATACTTATAAGTCTACCAGAAGGCTTATTTATCAGAAGTCATATTTATAAGTATTCTTGTTAATAAAAACTTAAAATAAGGACCAAAGTGCAGAATTTTACAATTTTACAATTGTAGAAATAGTAACTGAAATAATTCTTAAAAATGCTTATCTGTGCTTAATTAGTTTTAAGTTAAGCTAATACCTTCTATTGTAGGTCTACCTCCTCAACTATTTGATGGTTTATTGGCATCGGTTACGAAGAACTTCCAGATTACTATAAATAATGTACATATTAGATACGAAGAGAAAATTTTGCGCAACTTCCTCTGTGCCTGTGGTATATGTATACAAAGTATATCAATAACAACTACAAACAAGTAACTTGATCATGCATATCATTATATTCTTTATCAATCGTACATACGTTCGATATTGTCATTGGAAATCATGAATTGCAGCAAATGGAAGCCTGGAGTATGCGCCACAAATTCGCAAACTGTGTACCAGCTTATACGTGCAGAATCACTTAGTGTGTACATGGATCATGATACTGAATCTTGTATAAATGTCCCATGCAAATGGGATATGCCTAATCTTCTTGCGTGGAAGGGCACAATGCATCGAGCTCTCCAGACATTTGGGATGAAAAACAAGGAGTTTCAATTCTGTACGTTTAGAATTATTATTTATTGATTATAGTGTTGTTAACGCGTTTAAAAGAAACGATTCAATCTTACGAGACTTTAATGATATTCTTTGTTAAAAGTGTTGAAGCCTTTCACGGCCAAGATCAAAGTAATTATACACAAAGGCACGGAGACACAAACTTCTCGTATGTTGGTCGATATTGTGCTTCAAGATGTGGCGATGCAATTATCAGAGGCGCAATACGCTACATTTTGCTATATCCATGACTCCTTGTTGCGCGCAGTCGTTAATAGGTAAATTCACAATTGTTGACATTTATTTATTTATTAAGTTTTTGTTATTTTTATCTTTATTTTCAGAATTGGATAAGTTAAATTTTTTGACTGACAAGGGAACATAAGCAACCCGAAAATTCAGAAAATTCTGAAACATTGTGTGCAAGTAGAGTAGTACATTCATAATATAAAACTATTTTTTTTATTTCTACTAATTTTCAATTTAAGGGGCTGAAACCACCCTTTGAAACCAATAAGTGGGCAAAGGGGGATTCAAAAATGTTTTTTTTTGCAAAATTTGAATACACCGTTGCAAAGAGTATAAAATATTCTATCACTTTTATATAAACTATTTTTTCATGTTTTATGTTTTAGGAAATATTCGCTAAAAATAAAAATGTTATGTTTTTTCGAGGAGTGATTTCACTCCATTAAATCGAAATTTAGCAGAAACAAAAAATAGTTTTATGTTATGGATGTACTATTCTACTTGTACACAATGTTTTAGAATTTTCTGAATTTTCGGGTTGCCTATGTTCCCTTGTGAGTTAGGTTAAATTAACTTAATTTACACTAAAAGTTATGTAAACAAAAACTAACTCTATTAAAAATTTAATTAATTTATTAAGGTCAAAAGTTAATTATGCAAAGCAATGTATATGTTTTTACATAATTAACTTGTTAATCAAAGATTAAGTTTGTCAATTATTAATGAAAAGCTAGTCTTTTATAAAAAAAGCACCAATTTTTTTGTGTTCAGAATTCCATACAAGAAAAGAGCATTGGTACTTAGAGAAACAAAAAATTCTTTTATAATTATTTTTCTTACATTTCTTACATTATTCTACATAGTTAGTAGCTTGCAATAATTGAAGTATAGATTATTGATAGATTGTCTAACTATATAAAAAATGTTAATACATTTTGAAATAATTTAAATTAAAAGTTGACTTATTTAAAATTAACTAAATTAAGTTAAAAGTTATTAACTTTTAATGTTTTACCTTAATTTTGAACTGGTTGATTAGTTACTACGTAACGCTAGTTATTATATATATAATAATCGCAGGCCACATCTGAAATTTCGTCCTGAGAAGAGTGTGTATGAGGAACCGTCATCTTGGTGGAAATACGCGTACAATTCTATTTTAAATCATTATATCAAACCGTACACTTGGTTATGTATAGTCGAGCACAGGAAAAATTACCGGAAGTATAAAGAGGCGTGTATCCAAAGTCTGCAACGACCGAATGACACAGAATTAAAGTTGGATCTGCAGAAATACGAAGACAGTCTGACAATATTAAATATCGTGATAGCAAGAGAGCATGCTAGACAAGAATTAAGAAACAAGGATATCGAGCGCGAATGCCAAATCATTGCGTCAAGTCCATCGAAGGACAGTGTGGAAAATATATTAACAAATAACGATGAAGAGCAGGATGTGATAGTGGACCACGGTAAAAGCGAAAGTCCAAAGTTATCGATGAATGTAACGGAAAATTCATCCTGCTCCAAAATAAAATTAGAGAAAACTATGAAGCTAATCGGTAAGCACGTTTAATATCCATATTCGGCATCTACTACGTTGAGAACAAAAAAATAAGTACCTGAAAATATTCTTTAACTCTGCTCGCACATCTAATCAATTGTTTTCTTCCTTTTTAGATTATAAATTAAACTTTACTTTAGCCAATTGTTGTCTTAGCCTTCTAAGTAAGGGCAAAGAAATGCTGATCGTGACAGTCGCACAATTTCTGACGAGCATTGAGGCACGGCCTACGTTGTTAGCTTTCAAGATATCCGCTCGTGCTGAAAGTTTCGTGATTGAAGCTATATCGACCGATGGTGATTTGGTTCCTCTAGTTACGGTAGATAATATGTTGACAGGTAATACATATATTTGTATAAAAGTAGAATTAAAATATAAATCTATTTATCTTAAAGAATCTATTTATCTTAGATTAAATCTAAATTAGATCTAAAATAGTACGAAATCTAAAATATAAATTAAATCTCTGAAATTAAAATATAAATCTATGTAAAAAATAGAAGTAAAATTTGAATTATAATGAGACTTACCGTTATTATATGTTGCAGGAAATGTGTCGACATATTTCTTAGCGATCGATTTCGAGAAAAACGGTCTGAATATGGATCCTATTTTTGAAGTATCTATAAAGCTGGAAGCAATCGAAGTGACCTATCATCATGTAATGTTTTTATTTACAGATATTTCTCCGAATATTCGTTTGATTATGAATTGCGAATCTCTTTTTGCTTTCAGTTCGCCATGGTGGAAATAATAAACTTTTTCAAATTTAACGCCAGTTACATTCATGACACGGTGCTCGGATTATGTAAGCTGTGGGATTATACCAAAAGAAAATATTTAAGTTTTGTAGACGACATTGTTTCACAAACACTGAGAATTAGCTTCAAGATAGATATCAAGAGCCCGTATATTATATTTCCCGAGCACGGATCGATTCAAAAGTAGGCACTGTAACAACGTAATAGCATATGATACAATGCCGCTTGTACATATTTATGATATTTCAGAGGAGGGCACATTCTTGTTTTGGATCTCGGCAATGTAACGTTAACGAATGAGCTTCAAGCAACAAATCTACAACTAGAAGATGCTACTCTGATGGAGCTGGAAGAATTGCTTTACGACAGACTCAACATGGTATTCTTCGGCGCGCAAATCTTGTTTTGTCATTCAGGCGACGATTGGCGTTCGGCAAGAAAGCGCAGCGACTCGGAGTATCACTTGTTGCCCAAGCTGCAAGCGAACGCAACGCTTTCCTATAGCATCAAACCCGAATATCGTCAACTACCACGGTAATTAACATTCTTACGTTACAACTTTTTACTTGTATATGATTTTAATTCGTATCACATTTTGCAGAACGAAGCTCAACATGCATATTTCAAATGTGAAGTTTAATTTGTCAGAAAATAAACTACGGTTGATGGCATATTTCTTGAATAAGCTGCTACTGTTGTACCAGAACAATGTCGAGAAGTGTAAAATGGCTTTGGACTCTTCTACTCTCGAACGAAAATCAAGTGTCGTTTTTATCTCAGCAAAAGAATTGATGAGAGTGCAATCCAATATTTGTCTACCATCTGTTACAATGATGCACGGCGATTTTAAACCTGTTATCAAGGAAGTTACGACTAACAATGTACCGAAGCTTGACAGGTAATTATAAAATATATGTGATTGTAACATTTAGTTGGAAGTCGCATTAATTAAGTACTCATCAAGCGTTTTTATTTGTGTTAGGAGTGTCGTCTCTTCGGAAATTAGCGAGGAAGACCTGGAATTATTATCGAAAACGATTAATTTGTCCGGATTTGACGATAATATATCACCCTGCAACCATATTAATTTGTTACTACGCTTCGCTATAGGGGAGGCAAGTGTTTTCTCTTTAAATGCGTTCACGTCATTCATATCGGTCTTTAAAATTCAAGTATAAGAAATTAAAATAATAACCTGTGAAAACTAGGTGCTAGATTGAAGTGTATTATTAATTTAATGAATCACAATTATCTAATAATAATTATCTCTATTATAAAATCTGACATACGTTTCGATCCTCCTTGAGATCATCTTCAGTGTTTACATACATAAGAACGCTGAATAAATTCGACGCATCTACGTTCGTTACATGCAAATAACGCTAAAAGCTCTACTAAGATAATAATAAGCAATGCTCACGACGAATATAGAAACGCATTTTTTAAATTCCAGTCACTCACCAACACAGTCCAAAATGTGAGATATTTATTGAAAAATAATGTCCGAAGATTAAACTATTAATAATTTTCGTGCACTTTAATCCAGCTCTTAGCTCTCACAGGCCTATTATTTTAATTTCTTTCACTTGATTGTTAATCATATAGAGTCTAATAATAATTGAAATTTTATTCTTTAAAATGCAGTTTTCTATCAATCTGGAGCATACAGTGGATAATCGAGAGCAACCTTATTTGAATCTAAGATTGCACACCTTGTATTATGAGATGGCTATGATGGAATACGGCGTCGCCGTTCAGTTTGGTATTGGGTCCATTCTTCTTGTCGATAAAACGAATGCTGGCATCACCGGGTCATATTTGGAATTAATATCTACCGATCAGACTTACGAGGTTCTCGTTGTATCGTACCGTAAGGTGAGTATACGAGAGTTATTTATTGCCGTCATAATTCACGAACGTGCACTCATCGATTTTATCCTCAGGTTAAATCAAATTGTCCGGACTTCAAGTCGCATTTCAAGAATATCGAACGCTCGCTGGTTGTGAATCTGTTGAATATCAATGTAAACTTTCATAGATCCGCGTTATTGAAAATGAGAGACTACTGGTACAAATTTCAGGCGTAAGTGGATAACTTGTGCGCTGTGGAAGGCAAAATAATATAAGCGATTATATCCTCGAAATATTCTCATTCTTTCATTTCAGTATTTGTCAGGGTACAATTCTGTTTAAGTTCGCCGAGACAGTGTGTAGTAATATTATGAAACGGGAACAAAAGGGCGATGATCCGCCTATTCCTCCAGGTGAACGCTCTTAGAGTACAAGACTTATCATTCGGTCGCACGATTGACGATTCTAATACGAAATCGTTCTTTCTAGGTGCAATTAAACTGAATTATTCTACCAGACTCAGCTCGCTAGTTCTAAGATTCTGTGATAAGGATATAGATTTAATGGAGGTAAAGATTTCGGGCTTAGAGAACGATTGCATCTATAATGCGAACGAAAGAATGGTGTTACGCATACATCTCCGAAATATGCTTGCTGAAGACTTAAACGATGACACGCTTTATTCTAAAGTAATTGTCTAGAATAAAATATATATGGACTTTTTATCCCTGTAATATTTTTTTGTAATATATTTGTTGTTTTATTTTTGAAGATTTTGACAACAGACGAGGACAAGGTTTTCGACTTGAAATACGTAAGACACATGCCAAGACTGTATAAGTGTCCGGATATCGATACAAATCAGGACGACGTAATGTCGGACGGCACCTTCAAGCTTTCCATTGGACGAATAAATTGTGTCATTATTTCTAAAATTCTGTACGATTTACAGGTACGGCGAACTCTTCATACGTATTATACCTGTGTATTTTATTATGTTATCGTAATCCCCACTGTTTTTTGTAGAATTTCATAATGCCATTCGCTTCTCCATATTACACGCGTTTCTTGAGTTATATGAAGAACAAACTCGTCGGAGGCATCGAAGTATTTAAGAGAAGCGCGACGAAATTGCACATTTTTATCGATATACAAGGACCTACATTTCTGTTACCTCAGAAGAAGGATGCTCCGAGTCTCCTAGTATTCGATACAGGTACACACAAAAGTGTTATGTTGATAATGCAATTATAAAAAAGTTAAGAGGAGAATATTCTCTATAGAATTGGTTTCCAGGCGTATTGTCGGTTGAGAACTTCTTCAAGAAGAGCGGCCAATCGGTCCAATCGATCAAAGCGTCCGCCAGCGACGCCAATCAGTTAATAATCGACAACATTCTGGTGAAACTGAAATCCATGACCGTGTCCAGAGCAATTATGACTCTGACTCGAGACTTAGAGGTTCAGGTAAAATTATGCGTTCATTAAAGCGCAATTTAATGTCATGTCAAGAGAATACAATTACACGGGAGATTGTTTTCAGGAGCCTATCATCGAACCCATACAAATCCAGTTTGACATCAAAAGAAAAACTGAGTATCGTAGCATTATCGAGTTGCAAGCCTATGGTTTATTCAACGTACAAGGAGCGATCGATATTGTGAACATAAATTTGAGCCAGAGAGATCTGAAATCTCTTATGTCAGTGTGGCAGGATAATATCTCCAAGATTCTGTTGCTTAAAAAAACCGGCGAGAACGAAGATCGTCCTTCAACGTTAAGCTGTCGGAAGGACGTCAGGCACGACGATGCTATGGTGAAGAAGTTGGAGGATTTTTTAGCCCACAATGAAACAGCCTTGTGTGAAGTGAATGTCAAACTAACGTTGGAAGGGTTGCAACTAAACTTGTTCTTGGACACAGAAGAGGTATATGTTCGAATAAATTAATACACTCGTCAATATTCAAATCTTACCTTTTATTTATATATTATTTTTGTATAGTTTTATATTTTATTATGTTTTATATTTTATCAGGTGTTGAGTTCTCCCGTGCGCGACTTGAACCACGGTTTATGCAAGCTGTGCTTTGGTGAAACTATAAATACCTGGGACTTTTACAGTGACAAGAGTTTGAAAATGAAATTATCTTTGCAAAATTGCTTGTTGCAAGATACTCGCAAAGATTCCGTTAGTGAGAGAAAGTTCGTATCATTGCTTGAGAGACAATAAAGTGTCATTGATATCGAAATTCACAGTCTCGTCTTACGTTTCAGGATAATACAGTCACCATCGATATCCTTAGAGAAAAATTTAGAGTCCTGCATTTCTGTGTCGATGTCTCCCATAGTCGATGTCACGTATAGTCGTACCCAAGCGGAGGAGAAATGTTTCGATGTTCTTATTCAAGATATACGAATTAATTTATCCGTTCCTTTCCTAATGCATCTGGGGCGGTATTTCCTAGATTCCTTGCCCGGCGAGCAGATTGAGAAAGGCATCATCAATCACGGATACGATAATAATAATCAGACGGTAAATAAGAACTTCTTTACGTTGATCTGCGTACGAAAAAATATATTTGATAAATGTATTTGATTTAAATCAAGAACCGGAATGCTTTAAACGCAGAAACTGACAAATTAAATCGCTCACAGTATTTTAAGGAGCAACCAGGTATTTCGTCTGCGTGTATGCATGTTGAATGTAGAGAATGTAGGGAATGTAGAGTTTCACTTGTTTATTAACAAATATGCTACATACTTGATGTTGTGCATAATTTTACTCGCAAAAAGTAAGTGCAATTATCTTGATGTGTTTAGGTACTTCTGTCTCTATTAGGATACAAAAGCCAGATATCTTTTTATTTGGCGATTTAGAGAAAAGCAACACCCACATAATACGTATGCAAGCGGAGGTATTTATTGAGAGCAGCAAGCACAGTTGTTCCTCCTCGATAGTCTGCACTCTGACCAATGTCAATGCCAAAACTAAAGGGCAAGGAAACTACGAGTCCCCGTGTTGGTTGTTACGTCCCTGTGATATAGAAATCTGTAAGAAGAAAGAATTATCGAGCGGTAATGAGGAAATTACCGTTGCTATAAATAGTATTAATATACATCTATCGGCGGAAGTGGTGCATACTTTTATGGATGTAAGATGGCTCAATATTATTATAAACGTAAATCTGATTTATTTATGCTGCCTATCGTAAACTACTCTACATTCCAGATATTGAACGAAGCGTCGATTTTTCTAAACAGCATTACTTTGAAAGCAGATGAAAGTAGCAACAATCAAAATGCATACATGCACAATAATCTTTGGACACCGAGGAAAGTTTCTAGTATACCGTATAAGAAAACTGACGAAGGCGAGTATCTCGTACACGTCGTTGCATTGCAGATTTTAGTTGTTATTTAAGTTACCAATGTGACAATTTAAACGCATCAGTATACTCATATCGTGCCTATAATCTTTAGGTGACTCAGAGCTGTATTGTCGCCACCATGATCATTTAATATTTAACTTGAAACCCGTATTGGTATGTTTGTTGTTGGAGATGGAGTATTCGGTAGGAAGATTTCCGGTGATGAGAATGGAGACCATTATTACGACCACTGTCAACGACTGGCACAACAGTTTCCATCTCGAATCCAATGTAAAGCTTCACGCGTTCTGTTACAATAGATCACTTCAGACTTGGGAGCCGTTCGTAGAATTCTGCACGAAAGACGACGTGAATTATAAACCGTGGGAATTCACCATTAAAGTAATATCTTATTATTCTTTTTATAATTATTTTATAACGTCATCGCGTCTTTTTCATTCAACGCACTTCTCAGACGTATCAAGATGAAGCGAATATGATCAATTCTAATTGGATGGATCCTTACCATCACGTAAAACAAGATCCACTGAGAATGAAAAAGAAGGATATGAGGCACGACGGACATGATGTCACGGATATGGTCTTTATTGGACCTGAGGTGGATGCGATTTCGTCCACGAGAAACGGTGAGATTACTTGTACTCCACTCACCTGTTATTTCACCAGATTAGAGCTGATTGTTTAATAAATAAATTGTATTCGTTTTTGTTAATAAATAGAGCCTGAGACTTATGTTACATGTGAGGATGAATCCGATACGGACGACGATGAGAGCGACAAGAAACTGACGAGGATCTCGAATTATCTGTTCAATAGCAACAGCAGCGATGAGGAAGAAAGTGACTCGGACGATTCGAGTACGAACGAGGACGAGGGCTTAGACTTTGTGCTGGATTGTAACGTCAACGAATCTTGTACGTGAACTCAAAGCTTCGCGGGAGTGTGTCGTATTTCAATTGTTTATCGTATTTTCTGCGTAGGTCACCCCGCCGCCCCAGCGAAGATAGGTGCCTCCGCGCCGCATATTATTCTGTATACGGAGGACAAAATTAACATCACCATTACGCAAAACATGATCGAAATGTGGAACGCAATCACGAGCGCGTTCATACAGGCCAAGGGTGGGCTTCCCTTCGTGCCCGCAAACACGCGGGAATTGACTATGCTGAACGATATAGGTCACGCCAGTCGAATAGAGCTACTTGTTCAAGAACAGGTAAAATAATTCTTTTTTTTTTACATTTTCATAAGATTTAGATGATTAGATAAGTTTTAGATTTCTTAACATTTACACACACATACCCACACATAGAAAGTGATACAATAAATATAAGTCAATTTAGATAAATATAAGTCAATTTAGATAAATTAGATTATATGTATAAAACGTTAGTATTTTGGTTAAATTATAATTTTAATGTAATTTAAAGTATTTTTAAGGTATTTTTGGTTCGCACACTCTACTTATCTCATACTAGCTCATATTAGCACTTTTTTCCTTTACACATGGGATTCAATTACTCGTTGAAAATTAAACGTTTGAATGTGTCCTCAATGACAGGTGGATGGGAATAGTGTCACACGCATCATCGCTGCACATAACTTCCACGATGGCAATTCGCCGACCAGCGTGCCCAGCAGCCCGGAAAATGAAATGCAACCGGATCTCACGAGTCCTCAGTGGGTTGGCAAGGAAATTCATTTAGTTGTACCAGAATGCAAGGCTTTTCCGATTGATTCGCCGGTCCATATCTACAAATTGGTAACGGATGAACTTCTTCGCGTCATTTTTGAAGGTAACATTTCCGTATTTCGCTACAACAAAAAAACCATAACAATTAAATCATTAAGATATACATTACACGTATAGTGGAATAATAATGTTTTATTTTCAATGCAACAGGTTTTGAGGACGTGCTAGTGTACTGTCCGAAAAAGGAGACACGGAGTCTCATATCGCTTCGTCCTGTAAAACATGAAGTTCGTTATTACCTGGTGATAGAGGCGTCAATAAACAGTTATCTGCACCGTACGATTTGCGTGCGATCTCCGTTGCAGGTGAGACTTGATCTGTTCTGTCGCTCTATTCATTTTATCGTCGCTAATATTCGTGTAATATGAAACATCACATTTCAGTTCCAAAACGAAACATCGTACGCACTGGGCCTTTATTATAAAAAAGCGGTGGTAGATAAGTTGGGTCTGACACCGGCCGGTGAGACCACAAATCCGTTCGACGATAATGTGAGAATGGCGATCATTGAGCCCGACTCGATCTGCAATATTCCTCTGTACATTGCTTATCATTGTCCAATACATGTTCTACCTGCATATCTAGAGTAAGTAAAGTCAGACATGATCGATGATTTGCAATCATCTCGCGTGTTACAAAATGTACAGGAATCAAAATGGTATCATTGAAACACTGTTAGTTTTCTTTTTTACTTAATGATATTTCTTCCTTCGTTGCCAATAAGTTACTATTTTACGAGCAATTTTATTAAGAGAGAATTATTAACCAACGAATATATGTTACAGGAAATATCAAGTCAGTGACGATGGAATTTATTGGAAAGACTTGAGGGGTACAACAAATGCATTTAAAGATATATGCTGTGAAACGAAAGACGACATTAACCGTAATATATTCTGTGTCAGGGCAATATGCACGGAAATCCCATTAATGGCCCGACTCTCAGGTTGTCAAGTGCCGAATTACTTGATAAATATCATACCACCTGTTATTTTTAATAACCAGCTACCCTTCGTCATCGATGTCAGTATACCTAGCATCAATTACGAAGTGAAAATCGAACCCGGGGAGAAAATCAATATGCACTCTTTGAATTGTAACAGTAATGTGCAGTTTGTTTTTAAGGTATGCAAAGAGAAAAAAGTCATCTTATTAAGTTGATTCGGACGTTTCTTACTATAGAACATATATATGTTTCATATGTCGTTATATCCTATTTGGAAAATGTTTTGTTTATACCAACATTTGCTCAGTATTTATAGAAAAAAAAATACATTCGCGGATTAACTTAATATTTAACGAAAATAATTTTACGCAAAGATCGAACATATACCGCCATATGTTTTATTGACACGCAATTCTAATAATTTCATATAGGTACACAACTATTTAGGCACGTCGTGGACGGGCACGGTTAAACTGAACATGAATCTAGAACGAAAGTTTGTACTGATGTCTACAGATAACGAGTCGGATCTGACGAAGCCTTTCTTGCTATGCATAGAATTGTGCAAGATGCTCAGCTGGAACATTGTTATACAATCACAGTACTGGATAATAAATAAATCCGGTTTACCGCTGTTTATTCAAGTAAATAAAACAATAACACTAATAGTTTGAATCTCTCTCGATAATAAAACGTAGTTGGTTTTGTGTGTGTGTGTGTATGCAAATAAATAATAATAGTTCGTTCAAATAAGTGGAATGGTTCGTTGAATAAGAATAGGTCATTTTGTTTTAACTTTGTCTTTGGTAGTTCATTAATATCATGTCGCTCTAGGAATGTCACTCTCATACAACCTACGAGATGCCGGAAGAAGAGCTAATGGTGTTCTCTCAGAAGAACAATAAAAAGAATACAATACGATTAAGGGCACACCAGTCCGAGTGGTCAATGCCGTTCGGGCTGGACGGGATCACGTCGATGTCGCTGATCGTATGTCGAGATATCGAGCGCAGACAAAAATATCAGATCTTAACGGAAGTGGAGAGTTCCCGTTTGTCGCCGATTTTCACCAAGATCATTACGTTTCTTCCGTACTTTCTCATTTGTAACAAAACCAAAAGAGCTTTAAGATTTATGGAGGAAAACGAGGAAGCTGATCTCTGGAACGATCTCTTGCCCACTCAGGAAATGTCCTTCTGGCCCGCTACCGATTCCATGAAAATGAGAATCAAATGGAGAAACAGTCAATTGGTCTCACAGCACTTCGACATCACGCATACCGGCAAAACCGTGCTCAGAATGGATAACGGGGTAAGATGGAGATATTAGTGATTATTAGTTCTGATACAATCAATCTCGTATAGCAAATAATCATTAAGCAAGTTCCTCACGAGGAAATTTACTTTGAAGTTGAACTTAAGGAACATACTTTACAATATTCGCAGTCGGCGCTGTGTGTGGAGATCGAAGGTGGCGTCAATACTCCATATCGCGTCATGTTCCGAAAACACAACGCCGGCGACATACCCGTAAGGGTGGACAACCTCTGCGACAAGCTGTTCCTGAAGCTGAGCCAAGTCAATTTAGGCCAAGTTGCCTTGCTTAAGCCGTTCCAAAGCTTGCTGTACACCTGGGACGATCCTACGCAGAGCAGAGAACTGATCTGGAACGTCTACAATAACAATGCCATCGGTTATAAAGCAGAATTTGAGTCGGTAGGATATATTGTTGAAATTAAGTTAATATATTTCCCATAAGATACATATTTCATTTGTCAGTATATTTCTATTTTTAAAGTATAAGTGTTTCTAAAAAATACTTTATTCATATCAATACTTGTTCAGTGTTTATGAAAAAAACTTTTGAATGAACCTAATACAAAAGTATTTCTAGTCTTGATTTTCGATTTTTCTATGTACACACATAGAGATGTGAAAATTGTTCTAATAATTTTCGCACTTTTGTACACGCAACAATTTCTGCAATTATGACTTTATTGTTACTCTTCTCGTTCGAACGCATTATCTATTGTTAGCATTTTCGTCTGCTTTCAGGATGGCTGCGGACACGAGAAGGTGTCATTTATAACCGTTGAGCGGCGTAACAGCGCGTCAACGTATTCCTCTGTCAATTCCAAATCGTTGTCATATGCGAAGTCGTGGTCGGAAGACCCGAGCGGAAGTACCACTCATCTTGCCAACGCAGAATCCGAGACGAAGACGCAAAAGTTAGAGAACGTGCGACAGGACGAAGCGGAAGTTTACTGGGTGAGCTATATGGAAAGTGAACAACGCGTGTTGCTGTTCACACAGCACGAGAGTGTGTACCTGAAAGCGAAAAGCATCATCGACCCTGAAACCAGCAAGAGAGAGATATTTTTGTCGATCGCGGCGATCGGAATTAGCGTTGTGAGTAGACATTAAATATAATACTTACACTACTTTGTAAGTCGAGTATTTTATATTTATTTTAAGTGTGATCAATTGAAAACTGATTGCTCTCCTTCTTTTACAGGTCGTGCAGGAGTCTAACGCCAGTCTTCACAGCTCCAGACGAGAGTTGCTGTACGCTAGTGTGATCGATTCGGTTGCACACTGGGAGCTTTACTTCAGCAAACGATGGAAAAGTCTGTCGTTGGAGCTCAGCGCTTGGCTGGAAAATAAATATGTGAATTCCGCGAAAGCAGCACAGCTGGAAAATTTCATCGATGTACGAATACTATTTTATAAATTTCATTGTAAATGAAAATTGCTTTTATCGCGTTCAGTAGAAACAAATGACTTATTAACCAAATAATTGGTCTTGTTCATCTATATTTTTTCGCTTATCGCAGTACTTGTAGATTTTTATCATATAAAATGATATCTGCTCCCGAAGAAGGCGAAAATGAACCAAACTTTTTGACTGAACCAATATTAGTACACGTACAATATATGCATTTCACCGCTATCTTTCGAGCGTTTTTGACAATCCTTTTCTGACATTTTGTAGGTTGACTTCATGAAGATGCAGATGACTAAGCCATTCTTCGGAAAGCTACGAAGAACGTACTCTCCGGGTATTTGGCTGCATTGCAGGGAATCCACGACGCTATGTTATCTGCAAGGATATGTTCACAGAATACAGGTACGTCCATATATGTGTGGTAGGTTGCAAGACCATAAAGCTAGAAACTCACACCAAACTATCAAAATTGAGAATCACTCCTGTTGTGACAAGCTTGCCTAACAGATATATTATTAATTCTTATTATTATTTATTACTATTTAGTGTTCTTAATTATATCATTAATTATAATATTATTGCGTAAGTCCATCGATAACGATGGACTTTCAATTTTGACGATTTTTTGAGCTCCCAACTTCATTATATCTAAACTGTTTTGCAATTCGCTGTACGCTAGTTTGTAATAATATTCTTGTAACATTTCTTTCGCCGCAGATCGATAATCAACTGAGCGAGGCTTCCTTTCCGGTTGTTCTATATCCCAGTTTACAAAGGACTTTCGTGAATTACGCCGGCGGCCGTAGATTGAAGCACTGCTTGGAGTTCTCGTATTTGAAGCAACGCAAGCTGAAAAACAGTATTTACAAGTACGAACGCCTAACTTCCTCCATTATTTCTATGATTATTACTGACATGGTGATTCCTGTGTAATAATTTTCGAACGATTTTTTCCCAGAGGAATATGCTTGATCGTAAGGGAGTTTAATTTGAACTTGGAGGAAACGTTCCTCTGTTCCCTGATCAATCTGATACCCAAGATACCGGAAACTAAGCACTCGATTGCTGCTAAACTTAGGAGAGACGTTTCCAACATGCGCGTGCCTTCGCTTCACAAAATTACCAACGTAAATGTCCGATGTCATACGAGATCACGTCGATTCACGTGTATATCGCGCGATATTACTTTTTTGTTTTAATCTTTTACTTTGACTTTGATGCACACATATAATTTGCAGAATGCTAACGGAAGGAGAAAAAATTTGATAGAGCAGATATACATCTCCCCGATGGTGTTGCACTTGAAATTATTGGCCAACACGGAAGGTACTAATGCGCGTAGCTTCGGCAACGTAGCGAATTACCACAATATCGTACGTTTCATCTTTGAGTACGCGGAGAAGGGCGTTTTCGAGAGAGACGTTGAGTTCAGGTGAGCGAATGCGGAGGCTTCTATGTAAGACTTACAGACGCGACGTTCAATTTACCATGGCTTTTCAGATTGCCCGCCTATCGAAGGAGTTTTATCGTCGTCGACAATAAACAGTTCCTGTCGCATCTTTCGCGCACTTACGTGGCGCAGACTATGGAACAGTTTCATGTGCTAGTACGCTTAACGACTGTCTTGGGGAACCAGTACGGCTACAATTTTAAATCGCCGAGCGGCGGTTTCTACGAACCGGATCTGGTGAGCTCAGACGACTGCCAGAGGTACCCCAAACGTTTCTTTCAAATATGTTAATTGCGATATGTCTTTGCAGTTATTGCTGTATGGCGACGAAACTGCGGAGAGATTAGCACACGAAGTCGCGTGTGAGCTAGGATACGCTACGCCTGATGGTATGCAGGACTTTAGCAGCAACGACACCTCTACGACTCTTCATCCCAAGGTAAACATAAATCTCATATCTGTGCAAAGTCGCCAAGTGCAGTAAGGAACTTTACCAAACTCCGTTTAACAAGCAACTTGATAGCTATCTCTTTGTTTTTTACTCTTGACAGTAAGCGTTCTTGATGATTAATTCCAGCATATCCTTAAGGATACAACATATATCTCTAAAAATAAAAATATGCCGATTAATTTTTATATATATCGTCTTTCTCTAATGGAGTGCTTTTAGAATTATTTAATAATAACTTATTCATCCTGAAAAACGATCATTTTTATTTTTACTCTGATTTTCTAATTTTTCATAATATAGTTTTTATTTCTGCTAAAAGTACTACTTTTCAGCAATCAAATGAAAATCAAATTTCAGAAACACTCATATCCTTCTATTAAAATAATTCTCAATTTCCAAAACAAAAAAACCGGGACTCAGAGAGTTAAAACTTTGAGCGCTATATCTCAAAGTAAAACAATAAAATAAAGTAATTCGGTTGAGATATGAAATTTGTTGTTAAGACACGCTTCGCGCTATTTGACCGCATAATTCTCTTTCATTTTAGATGAAAGATGCAAGTTACCAGAACCCAGACGTACCGCCGTTGGCGTTTTCAGTCGATTATTCGTTCCCCACAGAGATCGACTTGGAGATCTCCGGCTTGATCACAGCGTCGACAAACAGTGAGTAGATCATTGTTTGTCGTGTGACGTACGAGTCGATGTTATTGAAATCATACGTATCGTGCTGCGCGCACTATATTAAAGCCTCTGAGCTACTCGCGTAAGTTGTCCTTGCTTGATGACATTAGAAGCGAGAAATCGCATGCCCGCGATTTTTGCGTTATACGTTGAAATAACAAGATACGTACACATAACTACATCTGTAATCGATTCAGCAACTTTGTAAAGTGGTCCGAACGCTCTTCTTTTGCTGTCACAATCAATAAATAGCCATGAAATCAACAAAAATGATGAGTAATGTTTGGTTAAAACCTGAGTTGCATGTAGTCACGCTAATTTCATAGTTATTCATTGATTTTAACAGCAAGAGGAGAACGTTCGAAACATTTTGCAAATTTGCTGAATTAATCACAAGTATCGTTTTATGAATATATTGTTTTACTTCAACGTATAACGCAAGAATTGTGAGCATACGACTTCTCACTTCTGACGTTATCAAACAAAGACAGCCGACCCAACGCGTACCCAAGAGCCTTTGAGTTATTAACGCGCCCGACCGCTCGGTCGAGTGCGAGCATTGTGTCGTCCACTTGTTTCCCCGACGTGCTCGACGCCTCCACTACTAAATCTCTCAAAAATGACAGGCATTCACCGAGAAGAGTTAAGGTATTTCCTCAAAACATTGGGCAAGAAAACGTCCGTGTTTTTCAAGGCAGAAAGCCCTTGTTTAAAAAGTCATTCGAAAGTAGTAGCAGATATAATGAAAAGGTACCAACGCTTATTGGCGCTATATTTCTCTCGTTTGTCACGCACTGTCTGTGTTTCACTTAAGAAAACGAGTTGTCGTTTATCCCGCAGAGCGCAAGAAATGGACCATGGTTTCGTATCCCGAGTGCGACTACCGCGGTACATCAATCCACACTTCGTGAGTGTACATTCAGACCTTGACTCGGCGGTGCTCGTTTCTTGTACCATTAACGACAATCGTTTCCCCCAGGGCGTGGAGCTGTTCTCGACGCACAAAGCCAAGGGAGCATACCTGCTGAACACTATAACCAAAGGTCATTGCGCTCAAAACGATTTTTACTGGGGGCACGCCGCGCTCCACAACGACGGAAAGTACATCACCCTCGTGTCTTTGCAGTAAGTCCGACGATCATCGCTTTGTGGCAGTATTAATTCACTCGAAAAGATAATGAAAATAAGATCACTCGAAATCGCAAGAGGCTAATTTTTCACACAATAATAGTTTAAATCCTATTTTAACGTGTGTTTGAATAGAATTTAAGACTCCTGGCTCCTCGTAACGGAACTCTCGATTTATGACATCAAAAGCGAGAAAATATACGCTAAAAATTCTTGCAAAATACATTGAAATAAAAAGATGTATTCACCAAATAACACTTGCAATCGGTCAAGCAGAGTTTCAAAATAGTCCTAACACTTTCCTTTTGTTTGAACAATGAATAAATAATAGGCCAACATCAATTTTTATCTCCAAACTGCTATAAGTGATCCTGAAGGTTTCTGGCACGTTGAAACCAAATATATCACTAAAAAATGCTCTATCGCGTCAGGTTTTCAAAGGTGCCAAAAAGATTTTATTTTTAAACATTTTTACATAAAAATAAGTCTGAAACGAAAAGTGTTAGGCCGATTTGGTCACCGTATTTGGTCACCGTATTTCAGTATAAAACAAAATATATCAAAATCACTTTTTAAATACAACTCAATAAATACAACAAATATTGCATATTTTTCTCAATCCTTTTTATATGTGACTTCGAATAGTAACTTTGTATACGTGATTCGATATTTAAAACTTTAATAAATATATATAATTTTGGAAGTTTTATCTCTTTTTATATAAATGAACATTTTAAATCTTTCGAAAACTACTAGCGCGCGTTAAAGAATATAAAAAGTTTAGTATATATGAAGAAATTTTTATATGTATGTGTGTGTGTGTGAAAAAGTATATGAAGTATTTGTTTTCTAATTTATTGAACATAACAGTCAACTCTAATAGATTTTTTTATGCTAAGTTCAAGTCTGTTAGCTAAATTGGTCTATTATTTCTCGTTCTTTATTTTAATAAAAAAAAAAAAAAAAAAAAAAAAAAAATGGCCTTTTTGATATTTTTAGATCAGAATATTTCATAAACTTGATAGAGCAGTTTGGGCAATGGATTTGATTTTAAAATGCCAGAAACTTTCAGAATTACTTATACAGGTCTGGGAGTCAGAGCAAAAATCAAAATTTTTCGGCCTGTGTAACCGTAAAATTCATGTGATCTTTCTTTTTAACCTACTTTCTCATGATTTTGTCACGTTAATTTTACAGTTTATTGATTATTAGAGTAAAAGGAAAGTTTTCGGACTATTTTACGGATCTTTTCGATCGATTGCAAATATTATTTTGTAAACATATTTTATTTCAACGTATTTTATAAAAATTTTTAATATTTCCTCGCTTCTGACGTTTAAGATGGCACCAATGAGGAAGATCAGGAGCTTTAAACTTAAATATCTAAGTTTAAATTATTACTGAAAAATCTGTTTAAATGAATGAATATATTCCAGTGAAGACATTATGACATTATGTTCACTCTCTCTTCAATTTCGATTAAAAATATTCAATCAACGTTTCAAAATTGAGAATTTACTTCATATGAGTGAAGTCATTCAAATTGGAGCGACTCGGTGATCACTGTATGTACTTTTCGAGTGAAATTTCGCTTCAAAAAATTTAGAGCGAACCTGTGCATCCTCACTCGCGTCAGGCGCAACACGCGTGTTGATGAAAATAGAAAACATAAGGATTATATTCGCCATGGATTTTCAGGCGGATACACTACATCGAGAAAGGGAGCGCTTGGGGATCGTGGAACGTGAAATGGACTTTGGAAACCAATCAGTTGCTGTCGCCGCCAACTGTCGCTAAAAGCAAGCTTATTTTGCACGTAACAAAGGTAACCGTCTCGACAGAGTGTGCATGTGTTTTCCAAGCAGAACTGAACGACGAAAAATCGAACGTAATTATGCACGTGGCTCGTTTGTAATGTTACACGCAGAACGAAGAGGAGGCGTCGTCGTCCATGGTGGACTGGTATGTGGAGAGCGAGGCCGCGGATATTTTGGAATGGCTGTGTCGGAAAATGAACAGCGCGATGATCCTGAACATGGAGAGCAGTATTTGCTCAAAATGAGAGTCCCACGTGACGAGGACACTACGCAGAGAAAATAAAAAGAGACGAGAGAACGAGGAAGATAGAGATTAAATGTATTTACAGCATTTAGTTCGGCATAATAAAAGTTTACGGTGAATGCAAAACAGAAAGATAGAAGCGACGTTCTAATGCCCTACACTTCATTTATTATAATAATAATTATTATCATTATTATTATCATCATTATTATCATTATCATTGTATCTTGCCGAAGTCAGATCGCATCTTCGTCTGGATAAAGTACGTCTAGTTTATTTCATAATTTATTTACAAAAAGTCTTAGTAAATTACACTTACAGGCATCTCCACTCGAACTAAAGTAAATAATTTAAGAACTACATGTATTTAGATATCTATAGAGTAGGATACTTTGGGGTCGGGGAGAAGCTGGGACCAGGGAAAGTGTTCTGTTTAACTTATCTCATACGTTCTAATAGTCTTCGCGAGAATTCGAAATCGAGTGTCGTTTAAACGGTTACACGTCATGTGTGAAAACTAAATTTAACCCCCATTCTCTCTGTCTATATATGTATATATATATATATATATATATGTGTGTGTGTGTATATACATATACATTTCTCTCTTCCCTTTTCCTTTTTTTCTTTTTTTTTAATCCGTTCTCTACGAAACGAGGAAGTATCATCAGTGGAAGGTGTGCGACGACGAATTCGAATGCGTTTCTTTTTTTTTCTTTGTTAACTGTTGCGCAGATGTTCGTGAGAGTGGGATTTTACATTAGATAAATGTATGTATGTATGTATGTATGTAAGAATCCTCAAAATATGTGCAAGCTGACAATCGATATTTGTTAGTTTTACAATAACGTATGCGCGCTTTGAAAAAGCATAAAATCTTGGTTATAAATATATCCCATTAGAATCGTTTAATGGCACGATCGAGCTTAAATTTAAAAATCCTCTTTTTTTTATCCTTTTAATATATTCTTTTCTACATTATCGCCCAGAGAATCCGTTTCATCTGTTTCTATAACGTCGATTTTCGTATCTCTTCCGCTTTTTTTAATTCTTCCTTTTCCTCTTCCGCTTCGTCTTTTTTTATTTCTTTTTTGTTATCACAACGGCGTTTAATTATGTTTATAAATATGTTTATTTCAAAAAGATTGCAATTAGACATCGCTACTTTCGAATCTCTCTTTAGGAAGCCACCAAAAAAAAAGAAAAGAAAGAAAAAAGAAATTCATTGAAACTCTGCGAAATCTGTTATACTTCAAGTAATTGTTACTTTACTTAATTTTGTAAGCTATGTTGTGTGTGTGTGTGTATATATTTTTTTTCTTTTCACAGACACTATCCCTACCCCTTTTTCTACCGGCACCCCCATCCTTCGTGCATACACACACATACACGTACGTACACACAACACACGCATTCCCGTATTCTTCCTCTGCAAAGCCCTCTTTTACATTAGGGATACGCACATATACACACACTCGGTGAAGCGTATGCTGCGGTGCACACGTCACAATACCTATCTTGCTTTCTCTCCTTTCTTTCACACACACACACACACGCATTTTTTGCGCGCACGTGTAAACGCAAACGTGTATTTCGCACTTTTGCATCTTCTTCTTCATCTCGAATATTTTTCCGCCTTCGTTCTTTTTTTCTCTCCCCTTTTCTCTCTCTCTTCTCTTGTAAAACTCATATATGTATACATGTTACGGTGAAAGTACTTCCTTCCGACTACATAATTTCTTTCACACATCGACTGTACTTTTACAATTGAAAGCTGCTAAACTTTAATATTTAAGTTTACATTAATAGTGTGTAATCTCATTACACAATAATGTAACGAATCTATACAAGATTGACTACGCGTCTATCTGTCTGCTACGTAGATAATGAAAAAGAAATTAAATCAATTACTTTCATCGTAACTTACATACATACATACATACATACATACATACATACATACATACATACATGCATACATGCATACATACATACATACATAAAAACAAACATACATGCAAACATACATACATACATACATACACACATACATACATACATACATACATACATACATACATGCATGCATACATACGTACATACATACATGCATACATATGTACATACATACATGCATACATACGTACATACATACGTACATACATACATGCATACATACATCATCATACATACGTCATCATACATACGTCATCATACATACATCATCATACATACGTCATCATACATACATCATCACACACACACACACACACACGTATCCAACATCCAAATTCATACATCCATCTCGCATGCATACATACATACATAATGCATGCAATCCACACAGCCGCGCATACACATACACGTTTCTCACACTTTTTTTTTCTTTCCTTCTTTCTCGCATGTGTTCTTTCTTTCACTCTTTATTCCTTTTGCTCTATCTCTCTTTCTTTCTCGCTCTTTCTCTCAAGCAGCGGCGTTATCACACATCATATTATTTTTTCTCTTCTAGCATTGTCTTTCTTCAGTTCTAGTTCTGCCTGTGCTTCTAAAGTCGAGACTTTTTACGGTCCTACAACCGCAAACGTATTTGCGCCACCGTAGCCGTAGCACAAAAATCGAATAAGATTCAATGGAAGTGTGTGTTATCTACAAAATATCTTAATTACTCGCTAATTACAGCACAAAACATGCAAATATAAAAATTTGCATTATATTATCGTTTAGTATTTATATATATTCGTCATCCTCGTTATATCGTTCCACATCGCATCTTTAGGGTTCGCCGACATACTTCTTGGTATATATATTATTATGCAGCTGACCGTTGTGTGTCTCGAAAGTCCATCTTTACTGCGTATGTATGCGTATGTATTCGTATCTGTATATACGTCTGCGCGCGCGCGCGTGTGTGTGTGTGTACACTTGTATGATGTTGAACTACATGTTTGTTTGTAACTTTAATCTCCATGTGGAGCGTTTTCATGCACGTAGTGTGTATGTACGTGTGCGTGTATTTATGCATGTGTGTATACGCGCGTGTATGCATGTGTGTACACGTGTCTACATGTGTATCTTTTTTTTCTTTCATTAACTATGAAATATCTTACACTATCGATATTATTCATTTCACGAAGGGAAGGTATACCGATGGGCGGAGATTGCATCGGGTATACCTACACGCTCTAACACCGATAATTAAACTTTCTTACTTCTTGTTTAATCGATATAAAACTACAATTGCGCTGCCATGGCCTATTCAGCACTTTTGTTCCTTCACTCGTGCGCTGTTTCGTCGCGCGTGTCTCTTGCCTGCCTGCTTGCCTGCTTGTCTTTCTTTCTTTCTCTGTTCTTTCTTTCTTTCTTTCTTCTCCTTTCTATACTCTCTAACTCTCCGACAAATATCCCTCTCTTCTCACTATCTCACACACACTCTCTCTCCTCCACTTCCTCTCACTATCTCCCGCTCTCTCTCTTTTCGCCTTTTACACACTAGCAGTACACAGCATATATTACCATCACAACGACGCAGTCATAATCGTCATTGTCGTCGCGTGCGTCTTACTTATCATCGTCGTCTAAGCCGGCACCGTTAAACATCCGCGTAGCGTGTCATCTTCATTGTGTCCCGACCGACAAAAGAGTTACGTGCCCCTCGAACACTGAAACAACACACGCGCAACTATCGCGGCGACCTGCTGATCCAGAATCTGGCTCATCACTAGGGCGAGCAGACGGGACTCGTGTTGCAGGAGCAGAGTTCGGTTGTCCGGATGCCTGGCGAGATTGAGCAGCGTGCCGGCGGCGCGCCGCAACATGTCTAGGCTGGTGCCCATCGATTCTGGATTGTCGCGCAGCGCCGCTAGGCCATGCTGATTCGCCACGCCGAGGGCGCTTGACTCGGCCTGTTCGATGAACGCGACGAGCAACGCAACACAGGGTGTCTGCAAGGCGATGGTGCGCGCGACGCCACTGTCCGCGGCCGACAGGAAGTGTAGTAGATTCACGCCGAACTCGCGCAGCACCTGTTCCTCGCTGCGGCACAGCAACCTGGTCAACACGGAGCATAGTCTCTGTAATCGGGAGTACGGCGGGGTCGCCACTACCAGGTCTACGTTGCACTCGGTCACGCATAATTTGCACAGCGCCTCCAGCGCAAGTCTCTGCGGCGACAACGAGGAGTTGGGACCGACAGTGGGGAAGGGATCTTGGCCGTGTGCTGCTGGGCACACAGCCCAATGCAACAGACCATCGAGGACAGGTCGCGAGATCTCTTCCGGATGCTGGCTGAGGTCCATGTGGCCGGATATGTTCGCGGCCATCACTAGGACATTCTCTCTCACGTGATGCAGAAAATCCCACCACCATTCTCCCTCACCCTGCAGACTACTGCACGAGTCCGCGAAGTCAGCGTCCTCCTCGCGATCGTAGTTGCGAGTTTTCTGCGCCCTAACCGGATGTTCGTGATGCAGCAGCAATAACTTGCCGAGCAGACTAAGAAACGTGACATTCTTGGCAAATTCGGCCTCGTTGCCTGGGATGAAGGTGAGATTCCTCAGGATCGTCGACAGGCACACGCAACGGCGGGCCAGATTGTCCTGCGTCTCCGTCACCAGATAGAGGCTCGCCTCGTCCCTGGAGTAACTCTCGTCCTCGTAGTCGCTTATCCGCCGTCGCTTCAGAGTGCCGGCCGGATCTCTTATGTTTAATCTTGGTCCCTCCTTGTCGTCCCTCGTCGACATCTCGTGCTCTTCGGTCGGGTCCATCTTCACCTCGATCTTGTCCATGTCGATATTGCTCGTCGCTACCACTGCCGACGTCATTGCCGACACTGCTGTCGAGTCGTTCAGTCCGTTCTGTGTCGGCAGCGAATCTTCGTCGTTCTTCGATGAGTCGCCGCTGCCGAAATGCTCGCCCATGTTATTGTTCGCCTTCGTCTCGTTGTCGCATTCCTTCTTGAAGCCGTCATTCTTTTTCTCGAACAGTTCTCTCGTGAGATCGTTCATTTCCAAGGGTTCCTTCTTGATCCTGGACAGCACGTCGCTGAGGGTCTTTGTTTTCTTCTTCTTGTCCAATTGCTTACGTTCGCCGCTGTCCTTACTGGGCTTGTCGCCAAGCTCGCCGGATTTGTGTGTGAAATCTACCGTCTCGAGGACGCCGACGTCCACTTTGGCTTCGTCCTTAGAATCCGTGCTCTCGACCTCCTTCTGCAACAACGGCGGTTTTTCGTCTCTCAGAAGGCGGGCGAAAGGCACCGTGCCCACCTCAGACTGGAAACACGTCACGATATATTTGGTCGCGTTCGCGTCGACTTGCCAAGGTTCGGTCTCCGACTCGCATTCTTGATGATCCCAAGGCCTCCTGCTGTCCAAAACAAACAAGTCGTCGTCTCTAGGCACGATCTTCACCGGGCGACCTCTCCTCGAGAGAAACGTGTAATTCGATGTCGATAACAGTTTCGTCCGGTCCTCGGGATCGATCGGACGCGTCACCGCGCCGAGATCCACTTCCGGACCATCCGTGGCTTGGTTCCAACGATCGTCGTCGCTCACAGATGTTTCGAACATGTCGGTGAGGGCGCGTGAGAAGTGTTCCAGCAGAACGTCCAATAATCCGGGTAAGTGTGCTAATCCGAAATAACTTACCTGCAAACGATTAATTTATAAAGTAAATAAATCGTGTCTTTTGTGCAACGACAAGTTGTTGGACTCTCTTTACTATAGTATTATTATGAAGATAATACGTCAGAGAGATACTTACGGAAGAATCGTCAAATAACAAAATGTTTAATACGTCAAGGGCCCAGCAGCTTTCGGCGAGGAGACCCGATCGCAAAGACATCATGACACGCCAAGCTTCAATTGGCGTCACGTCAGCGCGCGTCAGTTTTCGTCGCTTGTACAAAAGAGGCGTAATTGCTTCTACGCTGTCAGGAGGGAATGTCATTTCTCTCTTTGACGTTGGTTGTTGACTGATCATGGGACTCACACCGAGTTGATTCTGCGCAAGGTATCAACGATATTTAGTTTACGACACAAAGGTATCATTGAGCAAACATTGATTATGATCACACAGCAAGAAATGATCAAACAGATGTTAACAATACAAAATATCAAAGATGTCAATTTTCAAGAAGTAAAGATGTCAATTTTTCGGAGAAATGTTATCTTCAATTGATATTTTATTATATTTGAGTTTTATATAAATTATATAGAATCTAGAAAATTGTTAAGATATTAACAAGTTAATGTTAAATTGTAAATATTAGTAGGAAAGTAAAGAAGATGAAGCAGTACCTGATGATTTCCGGGTGCTGGATATAAAGGGGACGGTTGATTCGTGTAACGATGATCCCACGGCGGTGGTGGTGCATGTGCTATAGCGTTCAGAGATGGTTGAGACGAAGACCTGTTCGATTGTTGGCTGGCCCACTGTTGACTACTGGACATACCGCCCACCACTGCTGAAGCGGGTGGTGCAGGGGCGCCCACCACCTGGGATGCTTGTTGTTGTTGCTGCTGCTGTTGTTGCGGCGATGGCGATTGTGTTTGCTGGGTCGGGTATTGTACCCTATTATTTCCACTATTACTATTGTACTGATTGGTAGTATTTGGCCATCCTATTGAACAAAGTGAATTTTCCTTGATTAATAAACGATCGTTAATTTCCTTTGACTTTTCAAGTCTCTACTGCTATTGAAGTAAGACACGCAATTTTTCAAGCGTTGGGATTCACCTGAATACGCTGGTCGTTGTTGATTATATTGAGGATATTGTTGGTCTTTGGCAAAGTCTGGGTGGCGTCTAGGTTGGGTAGGACCCGGAGGCGGCGGTGGCATATTCTTGTTAGCCGATCCGCTTCCGGTATATATTTGAGTTCCACCGGGCGCCCCGTACCCACTCTGCAATATCCATAAACAGATATTTTAAATGTTACATAGAAAAAGAGAATTGTTCAACAAAAGTTCCATACACACACACTGTAAGTAACTTAAGCATATTTTAATAACTATTGTTTGATACAACAAATTATTAATAATTACATGATGAGTGTGGTTAAGGTTACGTTTTGTAAACTAAGTCCTCTTCCTAGTAATTTAGTACTGCTAAATTGTAGCTAAAGTAATAAAAATATATACGTATTAACAATTACCTGTTCTTGTCGATAGTAATCTTGCGGACAGGAATATGACGATGCAGCTGGCGGCTGCGAGGGCGAGGAAGGCTGACTGGTCGCCGTTTGTTGTTGCACAGTGGCCGGGTGAGCTTGTGGTCCTGACGGGTAGCTGTTGCTTCGCGCGTTGGGCGGTGTTCCCGTGGGATAGCTAGCAGGTTGCTGGCCACTTGTGTACCTGTTGTACATATCCTGTCCGGTAGCGTTATTCGGCGGCATATTACCGCCGGGATATCCTCTGTGCACGACAAAGCAACACAATACATGAATAATTCGTGTCTATGAAATGCGAGATACCAAGTATGTAGGTGATAGTGACATTCTTTTACCTGTCGACATCTGGTACGTATGGAGGGTAATGCGACCTAGGTGAGTACGGCTGACTGAACTCTCCTTGCTGAGACAACGCGTTTCCCTGCGGCCGGATGTACTGATCTTGCGGGTAGTTCTGGTAAGAGCCAGTGTTCTGGTAACTGCCTTGTTGTATCCCTGAAAACAGACATGAGATTTTGTTAACGGCACGTTTTTTTTATTAATGATTCTCAACGATGTTAGTCAGCGACACGAGAGATTTGTGCTTTGTAACAATATTAAGTTCTTTGTAGCAGTACTAAATTATGCTGCCTGCGCTTAAAAAATGAAGTAGATACATGTTTGATACTTGGTGGAAGAGAGAAGGAAATTGAAAAATTGCTAGACCGCTCGATGGGAACGGCATCGATGGCGTAAAAGCGTTTCTCGATGATGCAAGCGCTATTAAATGAACCGGATCATAAGTAACTGATGTCAAGGTATGTGAACTGTGCCGACATACCTTGATGAGCCGATGGTGCGCTACTTTGACTGGGTGGCCTAGGTGGAGGTGGCGTGTACTCCGACGACGGACCACCTGGTGTACCACCCGCGTAACTACTCTGATAACTTCCGTAACCATCCATCGAGGTGTTGCTCGAGCCCGCAGCAGGAAAGGAATCTTGAGAATTGGAAGAACCTACAAAAAAAAAAAGCCATCTCTAGTTCCTCTGAGCGTCTCGATGCAAGTTAACTGCGTAAACAAGGAAATTTCAAAAATTTTAACACTTATATAATTCATTGTAAGATGAAGCAGTGAATATTGCTATCTTTAATATTTTCGAAATAACGGAAGTTGCATAGTACAGAAACTTGTGTCGACAATACTTTTTCCTTCAGATGGGGTAGCTTCAAAGATCTTTAAGAAAATTAACTCTCAGATTTCAAAGATATTCAAAATAATGATTATTATTTTATTCTTCATGTAAATTAAGAAAATATATAAGACTTTGCAGTAAATTTATCTTTACCCGGTGATGGTACGGAAGCAGTTCCCTTGGATCCTTTCTTCTTCGAGCCCGCCTCAACCTGATTGATGATAGGCTGCGGATCCACACCACCGCGATCAAAGTGGCACTCGAACGCCAACAAATGCTTCGTGTAATGTTTGCGTAGGGTATAAGCCGCGCTACTGCTCGCACCAATGCCCAACAGACCGGCGATATCCTTCCAGGTTTTATTTTTCGTTACCTAAAGGAAGAAACTCACTTTCTTCACTACGCTCGCGCCAAGTTGGTGACTTCACGTCGAATTTCACACAGATAAAAATAAATCTGCATGACCAAAAGAAAAAGAAAACGCAGAACGTAAGACGAAAGGCATCGGCCGGCTTTGGCGCGAGATACCACTCTCAAAGATGATATCGGCACGGAATGGCGTAATCTCTAAACGCATGCAAATACAAAAAAAAAAAGAAAAACAAAATATATGAGTGAAATATACAGAGAACAATCGGAACGAATTACCGTTATTACATTTTGACATTAAAAGTTTATCTTCGTTGTGACTATTAGAATAATTCCATATAGCACCAAGGTTTGTAGGTCAGGATGTTTCCATACTCGTTGAACGACTACTTTAAGAAAAGATATGTTAAACCCTTTTTTTCTTTTTTATGTTTTACACAGTACACGAGAAAGGGAATACTAGTGTAGCACAAAAGTAGTACGATGTATATATATATAAAAATATATATATGTATAACTATATATGTATCATGCATAATTCAGCATAGAAAAATTCAGCAAGTAAAATAAAGCGTGTTTTGAAGTGTGTCAGACAAATTGTCGATCAAGAGAGCTTCATTGTACTCGACCTCAGAGGTACTTGCGAAAATTCGTATCGTCGAGTACTGTTTGACAACAGAGTGATCGACAAAGGACACCCCAAACATGTGTGTAAAGGCATATATAAGGAATGCAAAAAACACATACAACAATATTGAAACAATAGAACTACGTAAGACACCGAGGGCTAGATGGAACTACACTGCACCTTGCATACCTCCATGAAGCCCCCCCTCTCCTTCACGTAGATGTATAGCCGAAATAGATCGAGGGGGTTCTTGGAGATGGTGGGACAGCTGGTGATCGGTGTTCTTCGCTCGTCCATGAAAGTGACCAATTTGTCCAACCAAGTTCTTCGTTCCATCGAGTCATCCATTTCGTATAATTTTGCCAGGCTATCTGGCTTCTGAAAATCGCACAATTATGCATCGTTTTAGTACACCGTCATATCATATGTGAAACTTCATAAACATATAGATTCAATAAGAATATATTATATACATATTACCGATCTAAACATACCAGAACATAGAATGATTATCGTTGCGAAGCTGCGGACGTAATCGCGGTCTATATCTAACATGCATAGACACATTTTTTTCAATACTTATAGTGTACATCTTTTCCCACTTATTCAATGTTCTAATCAACACCAGCCGCTAATGTGTCCTTCATTACCATTAGTGAGATATATTTACACCAGGTAAATCGGTAGATTGTAACACGAAATGTCATTATTCTTAGAGAATACAAGTCTTCCCCCTTCAAAGTGCGGTTCAAAGAAGTTTCCATTTAACAAATATAATATTAACTAGGACGTAATGGGACAGCGTGATGCATAGCACGCAGCTTGGTAATTCAATGCATGCTGATGATAAGTAAATGTTCTGCTGTTATGCAAATAATGGATGTTAAAAATTAGTGTTAAAAATCAATTCGAAATTATAAAATACGTAAAGTATTGGGTGTGCAAAAAAAATTTAAATCTTATATATATATATATATATATATATATATATATATTTTCTTAATAAATTGCATTTACGTATTGTATCGTTTCATGTTACAATTTTTAGCGATATTTTGTGTTATTTTTTATTGTATAAAATTATATTGCTTATTGCACTGCATATTGCATTATATTTTTCTTATAATCTTGCAAAAGTAAATTATGGCAAAGTATTTAACTCATGTTAAATTAGTTTATACATTGTTACAATATTCTGTTCAATCTAAAATATTAATCAACATCAATGAATGACTTTAAAATATCATTCAAAAAAAGAAGTGTATAAAAGACAATATGAATCAAGAGTAACGTAGTTTTAGATTTGTAACTTTCATAGGTATTATAAGCTATTGTATTATTACTATTATGTGTATGTGCCAAGCAAAATAAAAAAGGTTAGTACGGAGTAAAAGCCTAAAGCGTAGAGTGCAAAGGGGAGTTAGCATTTTGACGATATAGCAAATATTTGTAGTGAAAAAACAATAACCTTAGATCTGTACGGGTCTTGAGGCACATGACTGTTAAACACCTGTAAAATATTAAAATATTGAAGATTCAAGCAATGATATCTCAACTTTATCTGAAGTGCTCAGTTAACTGTCATTTTAGTACATCAGAATATATCATATCATTTGAGACTGCTAGCATACGCGCGCATATTTATGTGTGTCATGTGTGTATAACCTCATTGATATGTGTAGATGTGTAGTGATTTAGAAGTTGAAATTGAGATACGTACAGGACTAGCAGGAGTACGTGGCCAACCAGGACTGTTCATGTCAGAATATTCCTCGTGAATTGAATTAATGCTAGCAGCACCAGGAGACGGGACTGTACTCTGCGGTGTTGCGGGATGGCTATGATATCCTCCCATCATTTCTTTCCGCACTTTTGGCGTAAATGCTGGATCTTCACCAGAAGCTGTTTAGAACATACACTCATTTACGATTAATTGTATATGCCCGAAACAATGGTAAAAGCTTTATCGTGCTGATCTTAACGTATTCGCTACCACAATTTACTTGGGGAATCCTCCTGACCATCTCGTATTTTTTTTTCCATAATTGTATAAAACAAACTTACGTCCATTTTATTTATACCTCTCTATCAATGTTGACTAAACTTCAACCCAAGTTTGAACTCTTCAGACAAAGGTTTAAATTCAGATTAACGTTTAATTGAGAAAGTTGGTAGAAATTGACATTATTTATGGACACAGAAAATTATTGCTTTCATATATGTGACGCTAATAACGAACGAGTTAAGATACATGATTGTGAGAAACTATACTAACCGGCTGATGCGTTAGACAACGTTGACTGTTGTGAGCCTTCATCCAGAGACGTGCCGTCTGGACCTGTCGTTATTACAGACGTGACAGTACCGCTTGAAGTAGATATGACATTTATAGCTGACGTACCTACGCACAAAATACAATTTCGTTAATCATTCGCGTAAGAAGACAATAAATAACAAAAAGAAGATACCATGATGAAAAATACTTCCGCACCTGAAGCGGTAGTAGTTATGCCACTGTCGTTGGAAGTCTCAGCTGTGAGATCTGCGGAATTGTGGCTAGTTGGCGTCGGTGCTGAAGCAGGATGTGAATTTGGTGTGGTACTCGGTGGTGGCATCGGGCTACCCTCATGATTGAGAGGCGGTGTGGCTGCCGGGGTATGCAAGTGCGGCACCGCTGAACTGGTAGGTGGCGGTTGGTTGCTTATGTGATTGGGAGACGGCGGTGGTGGGCCCATGGAGCTCGCTGGCGGCCCCATATTACCGATAACGGGCACCCCTGGAGCACCCGGCGGTACCATACCTGCCGCACCACTGGTACCGTAAACTTGCGGTGGTCCCGGGCTGGGTGGCATCCCCGGTGGCACGCTGTTGAACCCCATTTTATGCTGAAAGACAATAGAGATACATTAGCATCTACTGACCTGATACAAATCCAACGGATATTACGCTACTAATTAAGGCTGACAATTACCGTGTATGGTGGGTATTGTACCAGATTATTAGGTCTGTTGGGAGGCTGATACTGGTTGTTAGGTGGTGGTTGTGAGTTGGTCGGTGTCGGATATCCTTGCGAAAACTGCATATGAGGACGTGGAGGTGGATACGTAGATTGCGCATGATAACCCCCAGGCTGGCCGCCAGCGGTTCCCCCGGCTGCATACCCCATGCCACCACCCATGGGGCTGATGCCACCAAGAGATGTCGAGCCGGGTCCTGGTTGCACCACGCCAGGACCGCTGCTGTTCATTTTGTAGCTGTGCATGTGTGGTGAAGGACCCAATGGCTGCTGGTAGGCTCCTGAAACCGACGAACGTTTTTAGTGGTCTTCAGCGTGATAATTCACAACGCAAAACCAGGAAGAAGTTTCGTGAGAATAAACAATGACAGTGGAAGGAACAAAAGTATGTACCTTGAGTGGTCATAGGAGAGTGACTCATGCGTGCTGGTCCACTACCATCCGACTGACTACTCGACGGACGAGGAGGCATCTGAACGTTTTGTTGGCCTGCACATTAGGAAAGTACTTTTTAGATACATACTCAGGTACACACCAATACAATGCGAACAGAAGAGGAAAGTGAAAGACAAAGTATTACAGCACACAAATTACATTTAAATTTCACTGTTGCAAATGCCAATTATTTACGTAACCACATTAAATACAATATACAGAATATCCCAGAGATCTACTAAGCTATCCATTCTAACAAATTAAAAACTTATCAAGAGACAAACTACCAAAACAGTGTTTCCATAACTCTGGGACATTCTGCATAAGCTAATCTGCAATTACAAGTTTTGTTACTAAGTACAAATGCGAGTGAGAAAAGAGACAGACGTAAAAAAGACCGACCAACAGCAGGGGACATCGAGCGAGAACCTGTGGATCCTGTAGGTGACGGGGTAGGTCTCATCCCCTGAGAATTTGGTGTCCCTGGGCAAGCTGGTCCATTCGAACTGTCGTTACTATTCTGTCCTGATAACTCCTGCAACACAAACAGAATCACAGGATGAGACTTGGCACTATTAGAATTTGTCACAAATTAGATTTAAATGATAGACCTTATACCTAGATTGGCAATGTTAGTAGTAGCAGCTGATTTATTATTACTCAAGTGAAATAATTTAGATTCTTTTGAAATATCTCTTTACTTATAACCTGTCTAGATGTTTTTCTATAGAAGATGTTTTTCTAGAATTATTTTCTATATACAAAAGGAAAAAGTAATAGCAATTACGAACATTCTTTTGCATTAAACTATTATTCAAAGTGTCTGTCAAAGTAACCAACATTGGCAATCTAGGATCAAGTGTGATCAGGTTTCAACACATACAGTACGATCTCAAATTCACAACTGTATCACTGTTAATTTTGCCAAGATAATACGGTACAGTAAGTCTGAATAATGAATGAAGATATCAATTTTGATAAACTGCACAGCTGACAAACGTGCTCACATTTTACAAACACAACTCTCGGACAAGTACTCCGAATTCATACATCGTACTGTTAATCTACAATCATTCGTCACAATATTTTGAAGTAGGTCAGTTCACGGGCAGAAGTTCGCTCAAAGAACAGACACGGAAAAAAATTCAAATCGTCGATGTGACACAACGACACAGTTCAAAACACGAGAGACATCAGGCATGAGCGATTCACGCGATCGCAATCCGCGTCGTCCAGCCAGTCAGATAATCTCGCGGAAAGCCACGAGAGTCACACACTTTGAGTCCTCTGATCACCACTGGCGCTTTATCGCGCGCGCGAAGGCTTCTCACGAGGAACGCGAGTCCACGTCGTATTCATTGTTACACTGGTCGCAGCAGCAGCAATCGCACGGCCAATTGTTAGCGCGAGGCGCGCCGCCTTCGTGGCCAGCACGACGACGGACGGACGCGGACGGGCGTGCTCGGCGTTCGGCAGAGCGGAGACTCGCAATCGCGTGTTTCTTGCCTCAAAAATCAATCGACGCCGATACGACGACGACGGCCGTTCGAAGCAGTGCGAGCCTACCAGCAACAGCAGCGGTGTCGCCCATATTATTCGAGTCTCGCGCGCGCGACGGTTAATATCACCAAGTTCCTCTGTAATGTCACCCACAATCCCGTGTACTGCCTACGAGCGGGAGAAGGCGAAACGTTGCGTCTTCGTCGCCGTCGTTGCCGCCGTTGTCGTCATCGCCCCGTGCTCGCCGTCGCCGTCGTCGCGATGACGGCACGCGGCGTCGTTCCACTCGACCAGTCAGTTCGCGAAACACACAACACCATGTACCCCCGGTCGAAATCACGTATGCATGTGCCCGCGTGTATACGCACTTGGTACGAATCGTCCGTCACAACGATGCATTGCAACGAGCGGCTGCTCTCTGCCCGTGTGCCCGTGTACAAATACACGTCCGTGTAAATGCGCGTTGTGTACACGCTCGTGTGTGTGTATGTGTGTGTATGTAAGGAGAAGGGGAGTAGAGGGAGGAGGAAAGAGAGCGGAACAGAGACGAAGATAGGAGGCATAGAACTCGAGAGAGAGAGAAAGACAGAGGTTAGAGTAGGGATAGAGAGCGAGAGAACGGAAGAGGGAGAGAGTGAGCGCGCGCGAGAGAGAGAAAGAGAGGGGGTTAAATGAGAGGGAACGAGAACGAGGGACAGAGAAAGAGGAGAGAGA